AGCCCCCCGCCTGGTTTCCCCCCCGAGCGTGGAAGAACTTGGGGCGGCAATTGCTTCAATGAACAAAGGCGCAGTCCGCGGGTTAGAGCTCTTACACCTCTTGGCTAAGCGCAAGTCTGGTAAACGGTCTGCAGAAGAGTGCACCCGCGGACTCAAAATGGTCTACGCGTATCTTCGCGCAAAGCTGCCAGAAGATACTCAGGCGGCCATTGGACTAGACCTAATTATGGTGGAACACGCATTGTGTAAGTATTCTCACGCAGTAGTACGAGGGTACTGGGTCATCCCAGAAATATCTTAGTTTTATGATTTGTATCGAGGTTAACGCGTCACTTTATCGCCAATACCTTCCGCGTTGAAAGAGCTGCCAATAAAGTCGCCGAAGAACGCGTCGATAACTAGCTGGAATGACGTTGAGAAGATATAGGCATTGCCCGCCAAGACTCAGAATAAGAATAGACCGGCCCGTAAATTAAGCGTAACGACGGGATTCATTCCGATTGTCACACGGAGCTATCGCGATACCATCAAAACTCTCGTTTGCCGACGACTTTGACGCCAACAGGCCAGCGAGCAGCTTTGGTCTGTCCAGGGTCGCGCGCAAATGCGGCGTCACGGTGGACGGACCCTTCTTCTTCCTGCCATCATGGCCTGCCCATCCGGGGCCGCTGCTTGCTCAACCTGTGCGTCGCATACAGTCTGCGTTTGGTTCAACGCGACTTAACATCTTTGTAGCACCAATTTCAGCTTCATTCACATCGTCTAGCAGCTCCTATCCTTCGATTCCTCCCCGCGGCTGCCATTCTCACTACCCACCGACGTTGCACTCAGCACTAGGAACTTCCCCACCGATGGGCGGCGGCGGCGACAGTCTCTACGACATGTTAGACAACCAGCTACTCGTCACAGATGCGACCTGGGGTAACGCCAACCCTCAGGCTTCCTGCTGCACTGGAATTCCAGCCGGTTTGAATTCCCATAACGGCGGCGTCTCGGGCTGGGCTCCAGATGTTCAACAAGACCACTACGATCTCATCGACCCAGGTTACTCGTGGTTGAATGCAACAACGTGGCCCACTCAGTCTTAGCCTCAGGCCCACCCCAACCCGAATGCAACAACATGGCCCGTTCAGCCTCAGCCTCATGTCCACCCCAACCCGAACGCAACAGCGTGGCCCGTTCAGCCTCAGCCTCAGGCCCACCCCAACTCTTTCGTCTACGCGCAAGCCCGCCTCAGCGCCCAGCATCAATCCCTTCAATTGATTGCGCGCCAGCAGCAAATAAAAGAAGCCGAGCTTGCGAAGGAAAAGCAACAATTGATGATGCAATGGGGTCTGCTTCAACAGAAGCAAGAAAGTGTGAAAGCGCTGGGGAATCATTTCCCGCAATCCCAGCCTGCTGCAAGCCCGCCTCCTATGACGCAACATTCACAAAACTCCGGTTTTGTGCCTTCAGCCACTGCTATGAGTTCCTCGACGCAAATACAAACGCGCCCTGAATCGGCAAACGGGTCCAAAACCAGTCGTGTCGAAGAAGGTTTGCCATCCTGCGCCCTCCCTTCTTCGGTTCTAGACTAACTCTATCAACTCTCAGTTGTTCAAATGGTCTTCAAAACCAGATCTCCGAACAATTCTCAGCGTTTGCTTGCGGTATGCGACTATCCTCTGACAAATTTTGCCTTTTTAAGCGCTCGACAGTCCATTCTGGCGTCTCATGTTGGCGGAGATGAATCGGCAATTGAGCTGAGCCCCGACGCGCGTCCTGGATATCTTACTGCGCACTTGCGCTCCTCCTATTCAAGCGCATCATCTGGGACTTTGTCGGATGGTCGACCAAAGTCGCACAAGAGACCGCACTCACAATTACGCGTCCACCCTCATTCAACCTCGGCCGCCATCATTTCAGATTACCTTGCTGATGAAACTCTTACAGCGCTGGGACAGAATCTCTCAGCAAAGGAACGCAAGGAACTCCGAACAACGAAGGAAAATGGAGGTATTCTTTTGATCACAGAGTTGAGCAAGGAAATACCCAAGTTCTGCCGATCTGCGTTTGTCGACATGTACAGCATCACCGCCCTTGAAGCCATCACCACAAATCCCACCGTTGCAATCCCTCGACGCGTCGTAGAGATGCTGTCAGAGGTTATGGCGCAAAGGAGGGAAAAGGGATTGTCGAACGACTTTGAATGGCGTAATGTGGCATACTCGAAATTCTGCATCGTTCTAACGTCCAGTCCAGAAAGTTTTGGCCACATTGGGGATATCGAAATCGCTGTAAGTTGCTAAATGTTTTTCTGCATCACTCCCATCTCATGATCAATAGCTTCGGCGAGCAGGAGGCAGAATCCGTGAACAAGCAGCAGAGGATGTGGAGAATGTAGCGCACAACCAGTATCTCAGCATCCCGCATGGCGCGATCAATCCCGACACCAAAATGGAGTATACCCGCCGCGAACGCGACAAATACGATTGAAAAACTAGTCTGGTTCCTATCAACCCAGCAACTGACCTGGCGTATTCTCATAACGACCTTCTGTCGTTCCAGGAGACGGAGGCTGCACGACTTCTTGCTAACTATGAACACTTGCACTATCGTAAAAATGTACGTGGCAACATTTCATCCGATCCTCTTGACCTTAATACACTTAGGATGAAAAATTGAATGGAGATAGCCGCCTTATGCATCCAGCGTTAACTGAGGCAACGTTTGCTATCATTGAGAGAGCGGGGTTGAGAAAAGGACCAGCTGGCATATCGTTGCCGACTTATGCATTCGCTGGGGCAATGGTGATGATAAGTTCATTTCTTCCTTAGACTTATACTAAGATTTTGTAGATTCGACGCACTTTTCGCAAAAAGTTCTTCACGCTAGAGATGCTCGGCTCGCCAAGAAAGCAGTCTATGATATCCCCTTCGCTCTCGAGGATTCTAACGACTTTATTTTGGTTCTCGATGCCTTTGCGCGAGTGTTCCGTCATAGAGATGGCATTTTCATGGCCCAACATGTTTTCGATATGACTGCAAGTACGGAGACGATTCTTCGGTGTGCCCAGCATTAATTTCTTCGGGGCCGTATTTAATTCCCCAACAGGATGCCCCCAGAGCCATAGTGGTAAGATTTAGGCTAAAACCAGTAGGTACGGCTAGGGAACCCTTTGCCTAGAGGATTAGCCCTACCTAGGCAGCCCTTTACTGGCCTCTGTTAAAGCCAAATGTGACGCTTTGTAACATGTGTGACATGTGTGACACTTATTTAAAAGAATATTATTATTCCTTATCTGGTATCCTAGCACCTGTGGCAATGCACCTATCTAGATAATGATTTTATTGTGGAACCATTTTTGATTGCCATCAGTACTTTTGATGGCTATCTCATGATACATCATTTTGTCCTAATTAGGAAAGTTGTTGATACAGGCCTTCCCAACTATATACCGGGTCATCGGCCTGAAGAAAAGGAGTTTAAAGTATTATATTACATAATTATTAACTTATATATATTATATAATAATTTATTCCATCATTGATATTATTGAATCAATAGCCTAAATCACTAGGTACAGCTAGCCCTAGGTGGAAATAACCGTGTAGGCAAGCACCTGTTTAGCTGTACATAGGGCTTTAGCCTAAAACTTACAGCTACGGGTGGCCCCCAGGCGAGTTCGATGGTCTTGCGGCAAGAGCGAACCTTCAACCAATTGACTTGGAGCTCACGACCTCTAACTCAGCCTAGAATCCAACCAATATTTCGTTCTCCTTCACGCATACTTTACCTACAGTGTCGCCTCAGAGTCAAATTTGCTATCGAATCGCTATCAAGTGCTTTTTTGTTATTTTGCTATTCGCTCTCCCCCCTCTGCTACCAACTCCTAATGTGTCTTTTCAATCAAATCGTCTTCCAATGCGAAATGGGGGCGGCGGTACTTGTACGCCGTCAAATTATTTGGCACGTGCTTTTCACTCAACGGCGACAGCCAGCGCGACCCGCGCGACCCAACCCCTCACCTGGCTTCTTGTCCGCCAAGACGATTATCGGCAACTTGCGTGTATTTGGCTCGTCAGACGGTCACGGGCTGCGGTGGTGGGGCAAATAGCTGACGTGGAGTTGGGAGTGGCCACTGGCTAGACGAACGATAGCCCAACAATGTGAGTGGGCGACTTCAGTATCCTAAGACCCTGAGTGCTCACACTTGCCACCAAAGCCGAATGCGATAACAGCAATCTCAGCCTTCAACAAATGTCCATTTGGTGACAAACGACTCGTCTCACCAACAGCCGTATCGACTCAATTTTCCCCTCCCTACTGTCTCCTTCACCCAGAAGACTTCAATAAGCTCAATGTTCACATTCAGGCCTATGGGTAACTTGCTTGGGCATCCCAGAACACCCAGAACATATCCAGCCAACCCTGTCGCCGATGTCAGGAAACTCGCCTGTCCATGCCAATTGACAGCGCCATTCGAGTGGTCAAAACAGAGCCTGTTGAGAGCTCTAAAGACGACGACATAGACCTGGTAGATTTGCCACCGCCAGGTCCCTTCCTTGAAAACGACATTAACTCGAGCATTCACCTATACAACGCATTCCTTCTTCCCCTTGCTGGGTTCGATAAAATTCTCCCTTTACTACTGGAGAAACTGCCTTGAAGGGGCAAATTGCAGCTCGACAGTCGGACTACCGCAACCGTCGCTTCAATCGCACAACCAGTGCCGATGCATTTGAGGCAGAAGATGGAAGAGAGCTGGAAGGCGGCTACAAGGATGCCATGCGGCTGACTCGTTTTGAGCAAGAGGAGGCCAGGGTACATCGCGCCATCCAAGAGAAAGAACGACGAGAGAAGGAGGATGAAAAGATGAAGATGGACTGCCTCCTGCCGCCGAACTTGACGACGTTGCTCTCAAGCTTGCTGCTGCTAAAGAACTTCCCATAGCAAATCAAGAAACTGGTAAACGTAAACGTCGATGAGATCCGAAACCTGGTGAAGAAGAGGCTGGCGAAATGGCTACTCCAGCTGATACCCCCAATGCTGAACCAATCAAACGTTCGAGATGGGACCAAACTCCTCTAGTAGCGAGTGGTGGTATCGAGCAACCTATGGAACGAATCATCATGAACGCACCTGGCGTCATGCAGGACGACAAACACAACAGATATCTCACCGACGAAGAGCTCAACATTATCCTCCCTGCCACTGGCTATGTCATTGTGACTCCTCCAGCTGGTTACGCGCCCACCATTGCTCCTCGTCGATCGATGGCAACTCCCATCGGTCACCCAGGAGGATTCCAAATCAAGGAAGGCTCGACGCGCCGCCGCCATTGCTGCTGCTGCCGGTCTTGCCCCAGAACTTCCGACTGAAATCCCTGGTGTTGGTGCCCTCACGTTCTTCAAAGCGGAGGACAGTCAATATTTCGCCAAAATTTCCAAGGAAGAAGACGAAACAGAGCTTTCGGTCGACAAAATGAAGGAGCGCAAGATCGTGCGTCTTCTTCTCAAAATCAAGAACGGCACTCCCCCCGTCCGAAAGACTGCCCTTCGTCAAATCACTGACAAGGCTCGCGAGTTTGGTGCCGGTCCGTTGTTCGATAAAATTCTCCCTTTACTAATGGAACGCACACTGGAGGACCAAGAACGACATTTGCTTGTGAAGGTTATCGATCGAGTCCTGTACAAGCTGGATGATCTTGTTCGCCCATACGTGCACAAGATTCTTGTCGTCATTGAACCATTGCTCATTGACGAAGATTACTACGCCCGTGTTGAAGGACGTGAAATCATTTTCAACCTGTCCAAAGCTGCTGGTCTCGCCCATATGATATCTACCATGCGTCCAGATATCGATCATGCTGACGAGTATATACACAACACCACCGCTCGCGCTTTCTCAGTTGTAGCTTCGGCACTGGGTATTCCGTCCCTTCTTCCTTTCCTCAAGGCCGTCTGCAACTCGAAAAAGTCACGGCAAGCTCGACACACCGGCATTCGTATTGTCCAGCAGATTGCCATCATGATGGGTTGTGCTGTTCTCCCTCATCTCTGCAATCTCATCGATTGTATTGCCAAGGGGTTGTCCGATGAACAACCGAACCATGACTGCATTGGGACTTGCTGCCCTCGCTGAAGCTGCCGCCCCTTACGGAATTGAGTCTTTCGATAACGTGCTGAAGCCCCTCTGGACAGGTATTCGCTTGCATCGTGGAAAGGGTTTAGCCGCATTCCTCAAGGCCATCGGCTTTATCATCCCTCTCATGGACCCGGAATACGCGTCCTACTATACCAAAGAAGTCACGGTGATCCTCATTCGTGAGTTCCAAACCTCAGACGAAGAAATCGTCTTCAAGGTCGTTAAACAATGCACGGCTACCGAGGGTGTTACTCTTGGCTACATCAAGCACGACATCCTCCCTGATTTCTTCAAATCGTTCTGGGTTCGTCGGATGGCCCTTGATCGGAGGAACTATCGTCAAGTCGTTGAAACGACAGTCGAACTTGCCGAGAAAGCTGGTGTCGCAGAAATTGTGGGTAGGATTGTGAACGAGTTGAAGGATGAAGCGGAGCCTTACCGCAAGATGGTAATGGAAACAATCACCAATGTCGTGGAGAAGCTCGGCGCCTCTGACATCGACGAGCGTTTGGAGGTGCGCCTCGTTGATGGTATCATCTATTCGTTCCAAGAGCAGACGACGGAAGACCAAGTCATGCTGGATGGCTTCGGTACCGTTGTGAATGCTCTCGGCATTCGCGTTAAACCATACCTCACCTAAATCGTTTCCACCATCCTCTGGCGCTTAAACAACAAGAGTGCCAAAGTTCGTCAACAGGCTGCTGATCTCACAACTCGTCTTGGCATCGTCATCAAGCAGTGTGGCGAGGACCAGCTGCTGAGCAAACTCGGGCTTGTGCTTTTCGAACAGTTGGGTGAGGAGTATCCTGACACTCTTGGTTCCATCATCGCAGCCGAGGGAGCGATTGCCAATATTGTCGGTATGACCCAAATGAACCCACCTGTCAAAGATCTTCGTGAGTCTTATTCTGCTTTCTTTTTATAGATCACTAACTTGTTTGTCAGTTCCCTGAATGATACCAATTCTTCGCAACAGGCACGAAAAGGTGCAAGAAGCTTCGATCAACTTGATTGGTCGTATCGGTAAGCATTCACTCTCGACCATATCGTCCCCGCTCATGATTTTAACAGCGGATCGCGGGGCTGAGTTTGTGCCAGCTCGTGAATGGATGCCCATTTGCTTCGAGTTGCTGGATCTCCTCAAGGCCCACAAAAAGGGCATTCATCGAGCAGCCGTCAACACATTTGGCTATATCGCCAAAAGTTTGGGGCCTCAAGATGTCTTGTCCGTTTTGCTGACCAATCTTCGCGTCCAAGAGCGCCAGAGCCGTGTATGCAGCACAGTTGCAATTGCGATTGTCGCAGAAACGTGTGGTCGTGAGTCTTTTCGTCTCTCTTCGGGTTGATTCGATGACTGAATGCACGATAGCTTTCACCTGCATCGATGCCTTTTTGAACGAATATCGAACAGCCGAGCTCAATGTTCGGACAGGCTGTCTAACAGCCCTTTCTTTCGTCTTCGAATATGTTGGACCACAGTCAGCCTATTACCGTGATTCAGTCGTCACAATGCTTGAGGACGCACTCACCAACCGTGATCTGGTTCACCGACAAACAGCAAGCACCATTGTCAAACACCTTGCTCTTGGTGTTGCTGGATTAGGTTGCGAAGACTCAATGATGCATTTGATGAACTTGGTTTGGCCGAATTGCTTTTCGAAACGTCGCCCCGTGTTATCGGTGCAGTCGTGGACGCTATTGAGGTAATGTGTGTCACACTTGGGCCAGGCGTTCCCCTCAGCTATGTTCTTCAGGGTCTCTTCCATCCTGCCAGAGAGGTTTATTGGCGCATCTATAACGTGCTCTATCTCGGGAGCAGCTGACGCCTTGGTTCCTTTCTATCCTGACCTTGGTGAACTGAGTGAAGGACCCAACGCTTACAATCGCAGTGCCCTTCAAGTCTTTATTTGAACGATATCGTAGCTCAATGTATTCCTCTGTACTAGCTAGAACTGTAATCATAGATTTTTTTGCTGCCAATTTCTTCTCTTCTGTCACATGTGACTTGGCCTCCAACGACATTCACTGTCGCCGACATCGGCCAGTCGCAACCAACCTAATTGCCTTTCCTTCAACTTAAGGAACTTACAGGGACTGACGCCACTCCTTTTATCGCGCTATGGTCTATAATAATCTGAAAGGTTGGTTGTGGATTTCTGTCTCCGTTCAAGTCGTCTGATAGTCCCGACTCCAGCCCTCATCAAAGGCATCCGCGCCTGCAAAGTAGTGAATGTGGCGAGAAATTGCTATGCTTCTAACTATCGCGACAGACCGTGGCCGATGAGCACGCTCTCATCCAGCAGGAATCTGCAGCAATACGGACGTCATTCAAGGAAGAGGACTCGTTTGCGCGACACAACAATGATATCGCGAAACTCCTCTACATCCATATGCTTGGGTCACCTGCTCACTTTGGGCAGATACTAGAGTGCTTAAGGCTGGTCGCCAGTCCACGTTTTGCCGACAAACGGTTAGGATATTTGGGGATCATGTTGCTTTTGGATAAGAGCCAGGAGACTCTGACATTGGTCACCAACTCGTTGAAAAAGTGCGTGCTTGAGCTCTCCTCTGTTTGCGCCGGGTAATCGTGAATTCTCAGCGACATGAATCACTCCAACGCGTATGTTGTTGGGCTGGCCCTATGCACATTCGCAAACATAGCATCGGAGGAGATGTCAAGAGACCTGGCAAATGAAATCGAGAAACTTTTGGGCTCAAGCAGCACTTACATTCGCAAGAAGGTGCGTTCATCAAAAAGCCTCGTCAGTTCTCCTTTTGCTGAATCAGCTTTAGGCGGCACTGTGCGCGCTTCGTGTGATCAAGAAAGTCCCGGAACTCACCAACCACTTTATTTCCAAAGCAAAGAACTTATTGACCGACCGAAATCACGGCGTCCTGCTGTCTTCAATAACACTCGTCACTGAAATGTGCCATTCAGAGCCTGTGATACGGGACGAGTTCCGAAACGTGGGTTTTACCTTTTCCCAAACAGCACAAAATGAAGTTTCTTCAGGCCGTACCTCTTCTCGTTCGCAACCTCAAGTCTCTTGTAACGACAGGCTATAGTCCAGAGCACGACGTTTCAGGCATCACAGACCCCTTCTTACAAGTCAAAATTTTGTGATTCCTCCGTTTTCTTGGTCGGGGTGATGAAACAGCGAGCGAAGCTATAAATGATATCCTCGCACAGGTTGCGACCAACACTGACTCCACGAAGAATGTTGGCAACTCGATTCTTTACGAGACCGTTCTCACTGTTCTGGATATCGAAGCCGACACTGGACTGCGCGTCGTTGCTATCAACATTTTGGGAAAGTTTTTGAGCAATCGGGATAACAACATTCGGTGAGCATTTTTACTTCACTCCCATCTGTTGGTTAATGCTTGGACCAAGTTATGTTGCGCTGAACACGCTGAATAAGGTGGTTTCATTGGACACCAACGCCGTATACAAAGGCATTGCAACATTATTCTGGACTGCTTGCGAGATGGCGACATATCGATCAGGCGGCGAGCTCTGGAGCTATCTTATGCTCTCATTAATGAAGGCAATGTCCGCGTGCTTGTTCAAGAATTGCTCGCCTTCCTTGAAGTAGCCGACGACGAATTCAAGCTTGGAATGACCACACAAATATCTCTCGCTGCAGAACGATTCGCGCCAAACAAACAGTGGCACATCGACACTGTCCTTTGATTCCTGCGACTGGTGAGGGTCCCCTGATTCCCAGTGCATACTCATCGCCGTCGACTAGGCTGGAAACTTCGTGCGGGAAGAGATATTGTCCGCCTTCATTCGTATGGTAGCGCATACACCAGAACTGCAAGCATATACTGCATCAAAGCTCTATGTTGCTTTGATGGCCGATATTTCTCAAGAGTCTCTAACCCTCGCTGCAACCTGGGTCATCGGTGAATATAGTGAACTGCTGTTGGAGGGAGGAATTGTGGACGAGGACCCACGCAAACCTGTGTGTTTTTTTAACAGTTTTATTTCAAATACCCTCTTACCTTGAGCAGGTCTCGGACAAGCAATTAATTGACTTGCTGGTGTCGATTCTCGATTCACCATATGCCAACCTCCTTATGCGACAGTTTGTGCTGACTGCAGTCACGAAGATTTCATCGCTGCCAGCAGTCGGTGTAACTCAGCATGAGCGTATTTCAGAGCTTCTATTACAATACGCAACGAGTCCTGAGTTAGAACTGCAACAGCAAGCCATCGAGTTCGTTAGCCTGTTTAATCTTGGTCAAGTCAAGAAGGGTGTCTTGGAGAAAATACCGCCTCCGGAACTGAAAGCTACTGTTATCGCTGTCGGTGCGTATTTTATTACTCTTGTGGACACTGTCTCACTCTGCACAGTCAGTGAACAGAAACCAGTTGGCTCAACGAAAGCCACTGTTGTCGACGTACGTTCTGAAAGCACGTTTGCCTGATGTTACTTAACAACTTAGGATCTTCTGGGTTCGGACGACGCAGTTACTACTAGTCCTGCAACAAACGTCACGAAAAGCAACGATGATCTTCTCCGTGGTCTCTTGGTTGGGGGGGATATGAACCCGACCAGCAGTCAACCAGTCAAGCGAGAGGAGACCCTCCTCCCGTTTTCGTGGATTTATGCCCAGCCGACTCGGACTTGGCTGCCGCTATTGCAGCCTATGACTCCGCTTCCGACCCACAAGGTCTCCAGGCGGAGGGTATACTGCACGTTCTAGGACTAGCTCAACCGCCTCCTTTGCTGGAAGACAAGCATCCGAACATACCCAAAATCGAATGGCCGCCCAAATCCATACCGAAAACATACGGTAGCTCAGCCAAAACTTCAGAGTTGGGTTCGCCCAAGCTCATATCGACCCAGTCTCCAGAGTTGGATTCATTCCGTGGTCGAATGATTAACCAGGCTCGCAGTTATTCCCTCGTCCCATCCACCATCGCTCCATGGCCTTCAAATTTCGACTCAAATGGCCCCGTCAGGCACCTGAAAGATACTGTCAACAATGTTGGGCCAGAAAGCCAGGATGGCCATAACGCGGATATCGAACCAGATCTTGACGGGATGCAAGGCAATGTTGCCAGAGGGATACTGCCCCCGTCGACGGGGATAACAATGGCAGTGCGCTTACTGAAAGAGTTGGAGTCAGAGTATGTCAAAGTCTCCAAAAACGCAGGTAAAGTTCACTATCGCGCAAGATTGCGGCATCGTGCTCATCCGTACATCGCAGGTCGTTGTCAAGGAGAGACTCAAGCTATAGGATCCTTCTATTCCCCGCCTGATTCCGTCCTATTGGCGATGGTACAGCAATGGCAACCGGCAACAATTTTGTTAGTCTCAGCCTCTGCAACAGCTATGATATATGAAATCCACTATATTCAACGCATATTCTTGGTCGATTACACTAATACTTATGAGATTGGACGAGCACGAAGTAAGCCTCCCAGCGCAGTTGCGAATGTCTGGCAACAATAACAACAATCTTGTTGCGCCGGGCTATAAATTATTCAGAGTAAACGAAGAGGTTTGGAGTAGTATCGTCTGTCCCTGTACCGCTCTCTGCGGGAACATACCGCACGTCGTGCGCTGATTTCAGGAGCTGATGCCGTTATGATTTGCGTCAAGTTCCGAATGAATCTATGAGTTGACCTGTGAGCATTCATGCAGCTCATGCTTGGCAATGGTAAGGGGAGATCAAAGCTCAAGCTAGCTGCAATGCTTGCCATTGAGGGCATTGGGATAGTATCTGAACTCGATACTATGCTGGTGCCGTATCGCTATATGCCGCGAGTGCATGACATACTTCCCGCGGCAACCACCGTTTGCTGATCCCACCAGCTCTGCTCAATGATCTCAGCATCGTCGGACAACCCGTCTCAGGCTATAAAGACGGTTGAACTTGTAAGTGTCGCATTCCTGCGTCTTTTCCTCCTGAGCTGATGAGCGGCGAATCTGAAGTACAGTCTCCGAGTCCTCTGCTCTCCATTTCTGCGGAACACCAAGGCTACGTAAACGACGTCCTGGCAAATCTAGGTTTTCTACCATTGGAGTCGGCGGGTCCCCAGCAGCCTATTTCTCTAGGAAAGCGTCGTCATGGGCCCCCAAGGAATGCGCAAGTCAATTTCTTTTCTCTGGATTGTACTGAGCCACTGACAGTGCCAACCGCGGAGCTTTTCACCAAATCATCGACGCCGCCAAATTCGCGCCACGCGGTGCCGACGCGTTTTGGGATATGAGATGCATACTAGAGTATGGCTGTCTTAAGTCATTCGATGAGTCTGCGAGCGACCGCTTTGCTCAGCTGCCAGCGAGGTGCGTGCACATCTATTGCAGCAACGAACCCATGCTAATTCTATGAAAGCGAGCATGCTGAACATCACGCGGAGGTCTTCTCAAAAATCTTTGCTACCTGTCGCTTCCAGGTGTTGCCCGTTCTTCAACAGCTTTATTTCGATTCGAAGACCACTCCTGCACCATGGACTGCTTTGGGCGCCCGGGTAAGTGTGCGATGTAGTTGTTGCATATGCTTCAATATTGTCCTATAGCTTGCGAAAGCCGCCCGCGACGCCCGTACCCAAGACACAAACACTTTCAAGAATAATCTGCGCATTCTGCTCCCCATACCCGGATCTGATTTTTTTTTACCCGCCTATCGAACAAGGGGCAAGCAAATCCCTACGCGGCATGGCTCACCCGCAGCTGCGGATGCTAATAATGCCGTGGAAGGATCGTATTCATTTTCCTCCCCTAGTTTATACGAAGGCTTCCGAGTAAGACATCTATTTCCTTGTTTTCCATCTGACTGACATCCGCGTCTAGAAACCCGGAACCTCTTTCGTGATTATACCTCTCTTTGTCAAAGTCTTGCTCTACTAATGAAATGCCTAGTGCTGAGGCCGAAGTGTAAATCCAATCGATCTATACCTCCAACTAACGCGTTTTAGAATTCACCAGCAGATTATCGCCAACAAGTATACGCCGTCAGCTAATCGCTTCCCATCATTTTGCTATGACGAAGGAGAGTGGGACCCCGACGCATATCAATCCAACCTCTTCAAAATGGTCACTATCGTATGAGTGCGTCTACCCTTTCTTTATCATGCCAAGTTTTCACGAACAAAAGGGCATTCGACTTCTATTTGTTACGCGCACCGATGTCAGCCATGAATCGGATGATAACATCCCGAATGGGTGCTTGGCCTCAATCCACAATACCTACAAGGTCACGGCACACATCGTGGCGTATGTTGTTGTTCAGGCAAGCCCTCCATTTCTTGATACTTGGCCTGACAGGTGCACAAGATGCGTATTGCAATGAGCAATGTTCTCCAATGGACAAACAAGGAAAGCAAGAAATACAAGTTCAGCGACCTGTATGAGAAGGTTCTCCGCACATTCGAGGACCGCTCCAATCCTGATTTACCCGAGTGGGGGGAAGAAACGCTCGACTGGTTGACAGAGTACGTCACATATCCTCGTAGACTTGCTTGCTGACTGGTATTAGACGAGTTTTTGGCGATGGCGCTGATGAAGGAGAGGAAGTTGACGAGCTTGAGCCAAGTGACGATGAAGCTATTGTCCAGAGCCGTCGCCGGGCAGCCGGGCGGCAAATTGACCCTGAGCCTCCCCAGCCATGATTGTTGGACTGTTGCTTCACGGTGCGCTCTTGTGTTGTTCTTTGTTCCTTGCTGAAAATTACACCAGTCGTCTTCCACCCAACAACAATATCCAATCCCCACGCATTCATACGCATTGCATTTCGACACAACTGGCAATAATCGGACTATCGTCACGAGCACCTGCTCTTCACTTTTCTCTCCTCTCCAATACTCTACTACGCGCTTTATTACTACTCGTTTGCTTGTCTGCGCTCTTTGTATGCAGTTATAAAATATAATAACCCACCTAATTTGGCTGCATACCTGGGAATGTTTACTGGTTGCCTACAATAAGAACAGAGTAAGTAAGGGTGTATAGGATAGCCCTACTCTCTCAGTGGGTTTATAGATCTCTATAATATTTGGCAAGTCAATAATCACTTCATATCCTTGCTCCCGCTGAGAAGTGCTACTAAGATTATCAATACACTGCAAGAAAAGAAGAGAATTATGTTAAGTTACTAGTCATTGCGCGATGAACGGTGACGAGCAAGTACTTCATATCCTTAGTATGGCTAAAAAGTGCTCCGAAGAGTATCACTACACTGCAACAAACAGAGAGAATGGTGTGGAGTTATTGGTTCTTGCGCGACGAACAGCGACCAGGAAGCATTAACAAGATGAGCTGCTTGCTATATGAACCCCATAGGGTTGTTGAACTTGCTAGGGAGTCTCAACAACTTACCCATTTGAAGATCCCCTTGCATTGGCCTTGTTGGAATCGACTTAGGATTCGTAGTATTTACAGGAACTTTTATGATTAGTAACCCCTTCATAACCGACTTGCGAGTCTCGGGTCACTTTGGTGATGTGTCACTCGTCACATTTGTCACTTCTGTTAGCTCTTCTGTTTATTTCGGTTGCCGCGTCTTTGGTCCACGTATGTTGGCTTATCTTACAGAGCTCGCAAGCTCATTAGCCATGCACAGACCTCGATAAAATCCAACTAATACCCGCTTCATAACGCTTGTCAACTTGAACTTACTGGGAAGCTCGCCATTCACAGAATAGACTCGTTCCCAGAATACAAATGCCATGGCCTATGAACGTCAACCCTGACTTGAGCTAAATCTGGTGCATTTCATTCATGTACTTGCTACTAATCCCTGTGCAACCGCCTAATCGTCTTTGTTCTCCGAACGACTTCTAGGCCGTGAACAAGAACCAAGTATTTGACTCGATGCAAGCAGTACCACATTACCACAGATACTCGACAATTCAACCGCGAAAGGAAAATATGGGTCAATTTCGTCCAAGGAGCTGATAAATCTACGAGTACTGATGCGAGCAATTTTCAAGCAGCTCTTTCCTTGACATACTTGTCGACCTCCTTCTTCAAGGTATCTCTCTGCACGATCGTGCGCTCCATAATGTCCTCGCAGCCGTCCAGATCGTGCTCAGCGTCGTCCCACACTCGAATCATCGCGTCCATGACGGCTATCAGCTGGTTCGGGAGCCAAGTGACAATGGGGCTGCCGCCTGTCGTAGCCAGTTCAGCGCTGGTGTTGTGGAGAAAAGAGCACTCACCAGTTGCGGTTGGATGTGCCGTTTTCTTCAAGATATACTCCCTCGTAAAGCACCAATGCCGCCATCTGAAGTCGCGGATCTGATTCAAGATTCGCAAATACGCGCTTGCGCTGTCTCTGTGGGCTAGTGCAAACTCCTTGACGTTGATGTTGCGGGACCGAATATTGACGAACTCAAGGAACTCGCGGTGGTTTCCTGGCCGATACGCCCTAAAGTCCTTCAAGATGTCCGTCAACGGTGTTTCGGGCATGGTGATCTGGCAGAAGTTATCGCAGAGAGGAATGATACTGTCGTTGGCCCCGGACTCGCCACGGAACGACAACGGCTCCTCTGAAACGCCTTCGTAGATGACGCCGTTGGGGAACATGGACTGGGAGGTGATGCCGAATATGAAAGTGCGGAAGGAGGTGTAATCGTTGGCCTTGCTTTTCCCCCACATTTTTTCCATGACCTCGTTGACGACTTCCATAGCACGAACGATGGCTTCGAGTCCTTGGACAAACCCGTCGCGGTCGTTTGCAGTGCAAGCGCTTAAAGCAGACATGACACCAGCGATAAGGGGACCCGAATTGCGAACCATGTCAACGTGAACAAGGACAAACCCTGCCTCAGATGAGGTGGGGTCTAGTCCATGCTCAAAAGCTCGAATGAGGCGAAGGTTAGAGTACTCCAAGCCTTTTGCGGGATCGACCAAACGATAGTTGTATAGCGCGTAGGAGCCAGCATATTCCATGAATGGCTTGAAGCCGGCGCTGCTCGGTGTTGTCAAGCAATGATATAGGGAGGAATATAATTTACGCACATTTCAGCGCACCGTGAGATGGGCAACGCAATATTCTTCGGCAACACATCTCTAGCCAGACCATATGGCTCCCCTCTCACAAATCGTTCGTGGCAAGGCTCGAGGAGGTATGCGGATGCGAGGAACGAGTAATCGCGATAAAGGGCATTTTGGAGCGGGAGATTCTCCCTGTATTTCTCCACCGCCCATGTAAGATCCGGTAGCTCCTTGACGGCCTCTCCCAGCGAACCACTCGCAAGCAGGCCAGGAGTCCCATCAAGTTTCTTGATTGGCATGCGCGACAGAAGACTTTCGAATGGCGCAAACTCGGCTGGTAGCTCGATAATGGGCTCTGCTCGGGGAAGGAATCCACGGCTGGTAGAAACCATGAATGCTGGAAGACTGGTGTCTTCTGGGCGGGTATCGTCTAAGACGGTGAAGGTTCCGACAGCCATGATTGGAGGTTTGTTTGATCTTTGCCGGTCTCCCAGCCCTTTATATGGGCCAGCCACGTCCTGTGATCGACTCGGGAAGTGGTAGATAGATCAGGGCAATGAGCAATTAGTCATATATTCCTTCGCCATAGTTAGGGGCTGGCGGCGTGGTTGTCTGCACATATCGTTTTGGGGGCCAGAAAGTACTGTTGAATGCTGTATATGGCGCACAAGTAGGCTGTAATGGGGGAGAAACTGCTGTAAAACGAGTGGATGGTCCGAGGGAGAGGCCCGAGTCCAACGGGCCTTTTGCACGTGATGGCGAATTTCGATCTGGTCTCCAAGTTCTGGGCATGTTTCATTTCGACCGGGCGGAACCAGAGATGTCGTCTGCGTGTATGCCGCGGCTAGCAGGCGAGAAATCGTTGCTCATGCAGTCGTTCAAAACCGGCTGGTCAAGTTAAATTTTTTTTTGCTCATCAGCATCGCTAATACTTGGTATTTCGAGCTCGAGAAGGTTTGTTTGTTATGTGTGCGTTGTCCCAGATTTTTTTTTCTTTTTGGTCGGTCACGGTGGCCGTAGCATCGCCGACGCGCAACTGTTACCAGACTCGGAGAAGGTCCGGGAATTAATCTCCTTGAACAGAACTGACCCATAAACTTTCGACTGTAGAGTATATCGCGTTGGGTTGGTGATTTCGTGGTGATGGTTGGAACGCATACATGATTTTCAAGTTATTACATACAACGATACATGTATGTACATGTCATCAACTCCTTCGCAGCGATGCGCCGATGAAAAAATTCCTCAAAGGTATGTAATTACTCCATGTTGTATGTACATAAACTAGGAGAACATGTATCCTGGAGCCAGTCTCTGCGTTTTTGGCACCGGACCTCTGCTTGGACTGGCGCAATACGAGCCATGGGCTGCTCGGTCAGTAACGATGCACTGTTCGTCTGCCTTCTTGTGTTTGCCAATGCAATAGTTGGTTGGATGTCGTCCCCCAACCCTTGCGCAGTCCTGGCAACTTTCGTAGTCTTTTCCTTGAACAATTTCTTGGTCTGGCTTCCAAACTTTCTTGCATGATATCCGGGCGCAAGTTCTGTAACACGCGCAGTCGTGCGAGTGTCGAGAAGCATCATCTTGCCTACATCGAGCACTGCAGTACCACGCAACTCGACACGCGCTGCACTCGAAGGTGCAGTACCCGCGGTTTCGACAGTTGGGTGTCTGACATTTATTATTCTCCTGGACTGACGGGTAGGGCGTTGGTTGGTGAGACTGGTTGGGTGCGGGGGGTGCGAGATCGAGATACTGGAATAAAGGAGTTGGATCCACACTTCCATTGGCGTAGACGCCGTCAAGGAATCGTATCCCATACTTGCAATTGTCGCATGCCGGCTTGAGAAGCTGCTGGAAGGCGACTTGGTTGTAGCGTGCTGCTTTGAATAAGCCGATGGACGCGAGGTCTGTACTGGCGGCGACTCCGTAAATGTGAATGGCCTGACGCTGCTGATGTTGCGAACTTGGCGGCGTCGGTTCCAGTCGAAGAAGACTAAAACATGTCAATAGAGGTGATTGAAAATAATATGCCGATTACCCCAGCAATGCAGGGAGCTCCGCACAGTCACCCGTATGAACATTGGACCCGTGGAGTTGGCGAACACTTGGAATGGCTGCATTGAACGTAGGGAATGCGCTTGTCCAGCTTTGCACTCGTGCTTCGCGGGCACTTTGTTTTGAACGTCCTTGAGGGCCACCGAAGGAGGTCGAAATTGACCCGATGATTGGACTCGGGCCGCTTCCCGCCCGATACATGATGCATGCAGTCGCAGGAGGGGCGATTTCTTCATCAGCCGATGGCTCGCCACTAAAATAAGCTTCGTGCAAAATTTCACCCCAGTTGATATAAGTAGCCAAGACCCTGAGCTCGACTTCGGCCACCGCGACATCCGTTATATTCTGGTTCCGAGAAAATGGGAACAAGTCTGTCTCAGCGATGACGAATCCTGTCCAATTGTCAATGGACATCAGTAACTTTGCGTTTTGGTCAAGCAAAGGAAAGCAAAACACCTAACGCAGCATAAATGTCAGAAATGTTGAGCGTCAACCCGTGCGCTCCTTGGACATCTGTGGACTTGACGTGGTGAACCCCTTTATGATGAAGGCGGCTTTTTTTGCGGTCGCTGGAGTTGGTCACTTAGCGAACTTAGTCCAGATGATCGCCCAGATTTTACGCACAAGCACTCTGTGATGAAATCACGCAAGGCAAAGTTTTGCCCGCCGTGTGTAACACTTGGGTATACGCTCCTCATAAGCAGGTAGTTCCGAATCTGATCATTTATGAGCTCAGAAGTGGTCGAAGGAGTGAAACTACCTCTGGAGCGGGGCAAGTAAAATGGTCCTCATTGACGGCCGATATAAGATTGGGTGATGCATTCCCTTGATAGACTGTTACAGGTCTGCCAGCTTGTCGGTAGTTGGCCATGAGAAGTTGTCAAGTATTGTTGTGCGAGGAAGATGAGCGAGTGGCTCTGTTGGAATGGAGTTGGAAAGACAAATTTCCCCCCATTTATACCTCCTGTGGTACTGGTTGCATCTGAGGCTATGGCGAGTCCATGAAGCATACTTTGTTCTTGTTCACTTCGTCGAAGTCGTTCAGAGAACAAAGAGATAATTAGGCGGTTGCGCGGGGATCAGTAGCGAATGAAATGCACCATGTTTAGCTCAAGTAAGGGTTTACGTTCATCGGCCATGTCATTTGTATTCTGGGAACGAGTCTCCTAGTATTCTGTGGCTGGCGATTCAGACTTCAAGTTCCCAGTAAGTTCAAGTTGACAAGCGTTATGAAGCTGGTATTCGTTGGATTGTATGGAGGTCTGTACATGACTGATGAGCTTGCGAGCGCTATGGGATAAGGCAAGATACGTAGACCAAAGGTGCCAGTGCCGAATCACGGTCAACCGGCGAAATACTTAGAATTAACAGATGTGACGACTGTGACGAGTGACAGATTCCATTATGGTCGACCTTGTATGTGGCCTTGTCCAGTCGTTTTTGGTTAACGCCGTCACTGGCTTCCGGTACAAAGCGAATCCGTGGTTTGCTTCCCAACACGGCAATTGATTGCGTTACTAGGCAAGAACAACAGACGTACGACATTTTGAAGTTGGGAATGTGTTGTGTTGGCTTGCGTTCCTCTCTGTAGGTGAGTAATTCTCGTGCTTCTCCAGGTACTACCAGTACTGACAAGTCCCTGCATTTCTCAGGCCTTCCAACATCCGCTCAATGCGCTTTCTTGACCTCCAGGAGGATGTGCTCCTCCTTACCTGTTCCCTTCTCTCCGTTGGCGATATCCTGCTTCTTCGACAGGTGCGTAGCCTCCATTTTTGACCCTGATTCTTTTGCTTATGGAACCAGGTCTGCTCTACAATGGATCGTTTAATGCGGTTGAAGTCAGTTTGGCTCACCCAGCTTGCCTGGCTTTTACGCCAGGGCATTCGAATACCAGCATATATTGAGGATCACCTAGCCTTGAGCTCACCCGAGTTGGAATTGCTTGTGCGGCGGCTCTCGTACGCCTCGCAAAAATGGACGCAGACAGAAAATCGATCGCCGTTTCGGACGTGGTCTATCAACCTGCCTCAATCGATCACCTGGCTTCATCTGGCTCAAGGAAGATGGCTGTTTGTTGCCTCCTCGGACGATAAAGTCAGCAAACTCAGCTGCTGGGATATTTTTCGCATATTCAAAGGAAACACGGAACCCATTGCCCAGGGCTACTTACCAGATGTGGTCAAGACCGGAAAAGCTGAAGTTCAAGATCGTGAGATTGTGCTAGCTCTTGGTCTAGGCTCACAGTAAGTCATACACTACTTGTGTTGCTCAAGTTGATCGAGCAAGTACAGGTCCAACTCCACGCGCATCATTACGCTGCGCAATGTACGCAAAGAGTACTCTCTCCTCGAAATCGCTTGTATTCCGCATTCAACACACGTTCTGATGCTATCGGGCTCATTCGTTGGTTGCGCCATTCGTCAACAGAGCAATGTTCCGCATTTAATCAACTGGAGAGAATCCCGAATAGTCGAAATCCTGCCTCCTCCCGGCGGCCTCGAAGCTCACGGTCGTAGAGTGCGTATCCTGAACTTGATCTTGTGCACCAAAATTGATGGTAACGGTAGAACGTGCCGCTGGCCATGACGCTATGGGATGACAAGCTCGTCATCATTCGCAGCCTGGCTCTCGAACTCTACGACTTCCCGTCTGCTGCTACTGAGGCTTCAGTCGCTTATCGTGGGAGTATCAAGCCACCCACGATCTGGGAAGTTCAAGTGCTTCCTCTTGATTTGGCTGATTCGCCCTTGCGCCTTGTTATCCTCTCTCCAGTTGGCCTGGAACTCATCGCCTTAGATCCCCTTCGGATTCATGAGCTCTACGAAAGCGATGAAACCTGCCCAACTACCTGCATCGTACGAGACCTACCAGACTGGTTATTCGATTACCCTTGGTACCGACTTTGCGTCACTCCCGATGGAACACGAGCAACCTGGCTTGAAGCTGCCCATCTTGGAGAAGAAGACTACCATCATCCTCGCTTTCTGTCCGTTCTGTTACCTGTAGAACCGGAGCAAGTCAATCAAAACAACACACCGCAAGTATGGGAAATTGACCCACAGAGCGACCCTGCCATCTGGGCTCGACCGCAAATCAAAGTTGACGAAACTCTGGGTCTCACCGTAGTTGGAAACTGCTTTGGAGAGCTTGGAATATATGACTTTGCTCATGGAACTGCATTTCCGAGCAATGACCTCAACCGTGTGGATGACTCGGTTAATGGTCATTCACTATCAGAAGTAATTGGTCGACTTTTCTGTGTACTGCCGAATTGACACACTAACAGAGTCCGATTCAATTGTCTCATCGACGAGGACCAAGGTCGAGAATGACGCAAGCCGAATTCCGAGATGCAACTGCTCATTGGTCGCAAGATGGAATAGTTGATTGGATTTGGGTTAATGACTGGTACGAAGATCGTGACTGGGCGCGTGTGTTTCGTTGGGGCGAAGATCCCGGCCGCTTCGGTTGGTCGATAGACCACGAATATGGCTTCCCCGGGGAGGTCCTACTACAAGCCTACACCCCACGCGAATACGCAGGGGACACTCCGTGTATTCTTTTCCGAGTTGGCAACCGCTATCTTGTCGAGGATGGGGACGGGTTTATTCGTTCGTGGCCAAATAACGTCGATCACGGGTTCATCGTCGAGGCCTCCGACATTGAAGACCCAATGCATCCCACGATTGAAACAGAAAATAGCGTATTCTGGAAATCATTTCGAATGGATTGGAAAACCCGCACTCCTCGGCGTAATCGATGGGTTGAGCAGCAGGAAAGAGGCGGTTGTACCGACTTGAACTTGCATTGGCAAGAGGACGCGGTTGCGACAAATGATGCTACAGAGGAATGAACGGCAGGAGACATCTGACCGACCTGTTTGGTGATTTCTCAGTCGTTGGCTTCCTCTACTTGCCAATAATCAGTGGATTTTACGATGGTAGGTATATTTGTAACACTGAGAGAGGACACAGATGCGGAAAGTGAACCCTATCATTAATCACGTGATTTCCACATATCTTATCGGCTGCGGAAGCCGGCGCGTTTGTTTTCGAATGCACTTGAAGCTGAAGTATCACAGGCTTAGGCGGCGGGGGGCTGGGAACTGCACGGTTGTACATTCACAAATCTCTGCTAGTGGCGCGGACCGAAGGGAACCGGCATCTGTCAATCATGAATAAGATAACCTCAACGGAGTTGCGACCTTTACTTCAAAGTAAACCATCCCAGAAACCTTTCCCCCACTCTCCAATGGCTCAGACAAGACACAGCATTTCGCGATCTATATTTCTGGGGACCGTGACTGTGACAAGGTAACGTATTCGTTCTTGACCTCGAACCACGATGTGGTCCATAGTGCCACTCGCGATCGTATCTCGTGTCTTTTCTCGCTTCTGTCGAAGCATAGCCCTCCCTAGCTGCGTGGTAACCTTGGGTGTCCTCAGAGTCGTGGTTCAACGGGTCGCAACACCCCCTTCGCCGACCTTGACAGCCACAACGACCAGGACCGTGACGTATATATTGAGATTCCCTCTTCTTCTCACTCTCCCACCCGCCCCTCCTCCTCCTCCCACAAAGACGTTTCCAGTCTTTATACCAGGCACAGTGCCACTTGGTTACGGATTGTACAATCGGCCAAGTGGCACTTCATATCTTTTCTTTGCCTTCGGGTTCGTCTCTCTTGGGGTAGTTTACGCGACAGCAAATCGGCTAGGCTTCGCCAAGACTCTTGGAAAGAATGTAAGACGAACTTTTCATAAGCCAGCAAGTGGCTAACATTTACGCCAGCCAACTCGAGGTCGCGACAAGCTCCAAACTAGCGTCGCTAATCTTCTCAAGAGTTTCCGTGTGTCCTGTCGAGCTACTGCAGAAGAGGTATGTCAGATATTAACCATGATAGTCAGGCGTTAACCAAACCAGGTTGCTGCTTGTTACAATGCATATTCCGCCGCCGTTGTGGGTTTCCCGTCCTCATCGAAATTCCGCACACTGTTGGATCAGACAATCCAAGGTCGAGACAAGCTTCGCACCATTGTGCTCGATGTCTTTCATCAAGTGGCTACCTATTTTGAGGCGTATGCTGCCGCAATCGTCGGCCGTCGCGACATCCAATACGCGTTGAGATTACTCGGACTGTTGCTTATATACGACCACACCAACATCTTCGTCGTGCACGACATCGCTGAGGCTTTTTGCAAGTGGTGGCTTCTTCTTTGTCGCCCTGACCCTGGCGGAGCATTCCAAACTGCTGGCAAAACGTATCCCTTCGTTCCTGGCCATCCATCGAGCTGGGACGACTTCCTCCAATACATCACACTCGACGAGGAATCGTTCTGGGGCTGTGCCAACTGGAAAACTCTCAGCTATGCCGGTTTCGTTCCGACTATATGCCACAAGCAACTCCAGCTTGTCAGACCGCTTGGTCGCGGAGGATTCGGAGAGATCGTTGAAGGGGTAACTGGGACCGGCAAACACGTAGCCGTCAAACGAATCTGCAAGGGCGACTGGGTTCCACGTCGCAGTCGGCGAACCCCTGACGGGAGAGAACAACACCAGGAACGGAAAATGGTCATGGAGGGCTTTCTGCGCGAAGTTATTGTGTCGAGATTGATGATGGAGCATGCCTGCTTCCTCGACATATACGGCGTTTGGCACGACACGAGTTATTTTTACCTTGCGATGGTTGGCCTCTGGCTCTTTCCGTACGCTTTACTGATCCAGCGTTTAAAGGAAATGGGCCAGTCGTGTATTAGCAACCTGCAAATCGAACGGTTACACACTTATTCGCTGGGGCGGCAGTTGGTAGGCTTTCCCCGTCGATGGCTAGAGCATAGGCTGACGTCAGCTTAGATTAACGGTGTACAAGCACTCCACAAGAACGGAATAGTCCACCGCGATATCAAACCCGACAATCTTCTCCTCAATGGTGAACAGCTGAAGATCATCGATTTCGGTATAGCGCATATTTTTGACGATGCATCGAACGTTGGCTTCTGGGTGGATTTGCCGGGTCGCGAGTCGTTGCAAGACAAAGCTGGGACACCAGGTTATATGTCACCATTGGTGGAGAAGCAGAAGCCCTACGCGTTCGATGCAGATCTGTGGAGTGTTGGTGTAACTTTGTTCCAGTGGGTGAGGGGAGAGGTACGCGATTCATTTTTTATTGTCCTTTCGACTAATTATTTCTCCAGTATGTGTTTCCAGAGTTCCACCCCCGCGGCGCGCTCAAGGTGGGGCATAAGACCCTGACTCCGCTCGAATGGGATTTCTTCCGCAGGGTATTTTCGGTGTCTCCAGAACTTCGTTTCAACAACTGGGACGAAGTTTTGGAGCACCTCATGTGGGATGAGTCAGTCCCCCCATTCTCTCGTTCCGCTCTCAGGTGCTGACAATTCTTCAGGCTGCTTGAAGCAGCGCGCTAAGGAAGACGGATGACCGGAGAGGCTGTCGGAGGAATAAGAAGCTCTAAGGACATGCATGTGGGGACGCCCACATCGAGTCCAAAAGTCTGTTTCGTGCGGGACGCCAAGCGATTCAGACTTTTTCTTTATAGAGCAATTCCTCCGTCAGTAGTATCCGGTTTCGTCAGCGCCAAAAGTTTATTTCTTTTTTCGTCTCTCTCTCTCTCTCTCTTCTCTCTCCTGGATCTCTGTTTCTTTATTTGGCTTCTTGGATATATCGTATTTTATTGGAATATATGGATTTCATTGAATTTAGGGACAGATTGCAGTTGACAAAACGTGAGCAACGAAGCATTTTCGCAAAAGTGCTTAGAGGAATGAACTCGACCCTCAAGTTTCTGAATGCCATTCCTTTTTTACTGTCTGGAACAGAAGATACATGGGGTGAAGTGAGTAGTATGTGGGTGTACATAGGTTATGAGATAAAGTGACTGTAAGATGCAGGGGGTATGATGTAGCGATAGCATAGAAACCGAGAAAGAAAACGAGTGTTATGGCCTAATCATCGTGGCTCTATCCAACAGCCCCTTCACCCTCCGGCTCAACCGCTCTGCCTCTTGTTTGCGCTCCAAAACCTGATATGCCGGAGTCGCCTTCTTGGGCATCCACGCCCGCCCACTGGTTGTTTGCGCGCGTTTGGCGTTGAGCACGGACAGGTCGACAACGCGCGGGGCAGTAGAAAACTTGATCACGTCCCGATAGAGCAGCTTCGTCTCGGTTGCCAACGAGCGCAGTGTTGGCGGCGCCCGTGGCTCGTCTTCGTCGTCTGACGACTCCGAGTCGGAGAGCCGTGAGGGGTCAAGCGGTGGGGTTGCCATTCTGAGAATGGGTTGAGGGAGGGGCGGAAGGGCCTCGATTTCACGAAGAAGATCTTGGCCTTTGAGATATGCATTCTCGATGCGTAGATATCGAACAGTACCACGGAAAGCATCGATCTGAACAACACAGTCAGAAAAGGGAGAGAAACACAAGACGAGTCCTACCTGTTCAAGAAGATGTGACGTCTCCAAACTGCCCTCGGTCTGGGCATTCTCTGGTTCTGGCGCAACAACCCCTGGGGCTGGCCGCTGTTCAGTACCAACCAGCGTTTTCAACTTCATCCTCTCCTGCTCCGACGTATCCAAATCGCCCTGGACCTGCTCAAGCGCCTCCTCCAACTCCCGTTGCCGCCGCTTGCCATCAGCGATGATCCCGTCCTTCTCCGTAATCGCGTCGGCCTGCTTCTTCACCATCTCCATCTTGCGCTCCATCAAGTCGTTCTTGACAGTCGCCTCTTGGATCTGCTGCTCCTTCTGCTTCACCGTCCGCATCAGCCCTTGCAGTTCTTCGTTCAGCTGCGACACCCTTCGTTCCGCCTCCAGATTCACAGCAAGGCTCGTCTTGACTTCTTCAACGCGGGTAACCCATGGCGAGATGCCAGAGGCCTTGACCACGTTCTCAGCCTCCATTGTCAGCGGCAGCAGCTTGGTTCCCTCCTGAACAAGCTGTGTAATTGACTCGCCAATCGCCTCCCATGCACTGCTTCCGGGCTTCATGTCCTTCGCCACAGTTGCCAACGCGTTCTGTTTCGCCGCAGAAAGAATGGTGGTCAGCTGGAAGGGCGTTTTGTTGGCACGGACATCGCTGATGTGTGGCATGATTTGCTGGGCAAACGAAATACCAAAGTTGACAAGTTCGGGCACAAAGTTGCTGAGCCCTTTCATCTGCGGAACTAGATGCGCCTTGAGCGCGGCAGAGTCTTGGATGAGCTCCTCCATTCGTTTAGTGAGCTTTCTAAGAACCAAGGTTAGCTTAGGATAGACAAGTAAGAATATTATCGTACTTGGAGATGGCCTTTGCTGACTTGTATTGTTCCAAAAGACGCTGGAGGGGTTGCATCAACTCGGTCTGGATGTCATAACCACCCAGTTCAAGAACTGTCTCTGTAAAACCATTAAAAGCAGTTCAGTCAATCATTATATGCCCATACCTTCGTCCTGGATTAACGACGTTATTGACGTCTTCGAGAGACCGATAGAAGCGGCAAAGATATCCAAATCCGAGTCAAAGGACATGAAGTAACCTAGTTCCCGCTCGCCCAGGTCTGAATCGAATCCGCTGAAGTATGTTTCTGCAAGATGGTCGAATTGGGCAGCGATTCTAAGAAAGTAAAGTCAGATAGCTAGACAAAGCCAATTAAAAGACCACGAACTTAACTACATCGCTCACACACTCCATCTCACGGAACTCATCCCTCCTTAGCAAGTCGATATGCATATCGATTCTCTTTTCCATGGGAGCCAGTTCAGGATAAAGCCGACCAAAGTTAAGGAAGGACTCGACGTCGCAGCGGCGCATAATGGCCGCGAAACGCCTGCATAAGGTCGAGAGAGCAGCAATGCGACCTCGCATCTAAAATTATATAATTAGTCACGTGCAGATCTTCGGGCCAAAAAAAAACGTACATCGCAAACACCGACAAGGGCGTCTGAAACCGAGCCGTTCAATGAGTCGGGAAGGCCGTTATTCTGCGACACCGTCGTGTTGATAAGCTCCGTCTTGTTACCCATACGCTGGAAGAACAGATAACAGCTTGTGGCATCACTGTCTGTCTCAACATAGATTTGCGGGAGGTACGGTTGGATTATGTTGAGTAGCTCTCTACCCTCGCGCGCATCGATCTTGCGCAGTTCGAGCTCGATATTCCGGGCCTGATTCTTCGATGCGGAGGACTGCAGTTTGAGGTTGAGCGACATCATCGCGGCTGATTGCGTTGCCGCAGTTTGAGACTCTGTTTGGGCTACTTGATGTTGAGCACGCAAAGTCTCAAGCTCGCTACAATGACCAATAAGCAAGCCGTTGACAAAGAAACTGGCTGTATAGACCTCTGGAGTTGGACGACGAGTTCTCGGAACTGTCCAATGGTGCCTTCGAGGTCAGCACAAGCATCTTCCAGAGCCTCAGCCCGTCGGACATGTTCTCGAATTTGCGTGTCTTTGGATTCTTTTAGGAGAGAATGAATCACAAGTCTTAGTAAAGTTTAAAGACAAACCGAGATCTTCCATGAGAGCCCGCTCGGTCTCAACATGGTTCTCCTCCAATTCATCGTTGAGCTCTCGCAGGGCCTCGAGATCTTCGATGGTAACACGCATCTCCTCAATTTTCTGACGCGGCTTTAGAACCGAAAAGAGAAAATTAGCATAGGAAAACTTGCCTCGCCAAGCATAAGGTTACGCTCCGTCAGTTGAACCAGCATTTCTTCCGCACCAAGCGCGTCGTCAAGTTGCATTTTGAGATCCTCGATCTGAATTTCGGCATTTGCAAGCTTGATTTCAGTTGTCTCGTACTTGGCTTGAAAGTACATCAGGAAACTTGAACGCGCGTGAGCACAAATAACTCACATTGAAGTTCCTCTGTCCCAGCAACATCCCTCTCCATCTCCGCTATCCTCCTCTTCTGTTCGTGATCCGTCTCTTGGGTCATGTCGCGAAGTCGCAAAAGTGCCTCCTTTAAGCGTTCGTTCTGCTTCTCCAGCTGAACATAGGCAAGCGAGTCCTTTCCCTTGGCCATCGATCTATTTCCGGCATCATCGTCCTCCTCATCCTCCCCGCCCCCTTCTTTTAACATTTCCAACTCCACTTCCACAATCGCTAGTCGTTCCTTCACGTCCTCTAGCTCTGTTTCCGCTGTCTCTGCACGTTCTTCCGCCACCTCCTTGTCTAACATCGTCATCTCCAACTGCTCTTGAGCATCTAATATCCGGCCCTCCGATAGTTCGGCCAGTTGTTGCGCATCAGCCAGCTCTCGGCGCGTAGCAATGAGGTCTGTCTTCATGGTATTAAGCGTCGCTTGCAGTTTTGGTCGGAGAGCCACAAATGTTTCTGCGTCTGCCAGACGGGTTTCGAGTTCACGCACATGGCGCGCGTCATCGGCTCGTTTGGCTTCCAGAACTCGTATCTTTGCTCGGAGTTCTTGCAGCTCTTGGTCATCCGGGGCGCTCCGGGTCGAGATTTGTGGCTATTAAAGTTTAGAGGAGAGATATATGTTGTGTAGATAGAGAAGTACCGTTGGACCTAAAGAGGAGGGCGGTCGGACAACTGATGGCTGAGGATTGGATGAAGGGGAAGGTGATGTTGTGGCTAATGGAGAGGATAATCTTGGACCCGGGGCTGACCCGTTTACTCCATTGACTGCCGCGTTAGTTGGGGGTTCCGCAGTGCGAGCAGCAGGAGGTGAAGTCGATTGTGACGCTTTTCTCGCTGGCATTGTAAGAAGAGTTCGTTGCGCTGGCTTGGTGGGGGGATGCGGGAGCCGCAGTTGGTTTTGCGGGGCTGTCCGAGCGTGGTGAGGGTGAAGTCGTTGACGGGGGCCGCATCGAGTTAGCGCGAAGACTGTTTGTCCTTTGGTGCCCGACAGATGGCCGCTTTACTGGAGGAGCAGGCGTTCGAGGCTAAACCCACAGTTGAAATAAACACGAGAGCGCAAGTAAGTCGCGTACCTCTGGCTCCATCCCCAACACCCCCTTGAGTTGACTGGCGCGCACAAATAGTCCGTATAGCGGCTTGCAGTTGAAGTAGACAACGCCCCCGACCGTGCCATCGTTCTTCCCGTTCGGCTCATACAACTCTAGTCCGATCCATTTCCCAGCCATAAACGATGTTGCCCCAATAAAACGAACGACACCGCGACCAGCAGTGACCTCGACGATAGAGCCGAGCCGCACTTCTGTCGACATTGCGAGCGTATGGTATTAAGGTAAGAAGAAGGAGCGAGGCGCCAGCCTGGCGAAAGAGCGAGCCACGAAGGAGGTGGTGAAAGGACGAATGCGGAAAGGGTGGTGACGTAAGCGACCACTTTTCTCAACTAAACATACAGTATCGATGATTCCATTCGAGAACGCGCACCCCTCTCTGCTCCCATTTGACCTCTATCGCACCGTCAAAGGTCTTACGGAAGAATATCAACCAAATTCTTGAAGACGAGCGTGTTTATAACCCTACCCACAACTGAACAACAATAAACTAGCCATGATTCCACTCCAGAACATGTACTCCTCTTCGCTCTCCTCGCACCTCGATTGCATCCTCTATGGTCTTGCGGAATGAAAACCCGCATTTCTCGAAGACTCGCACGCTTGCTTTGTTGTCCTTCAGAGTGGTCACAACCATTTTCCGAACTCCCATGCGAGGTATGGCCCACTCTTGTATTAAAGTCTGCAAGGCATCCGACATAATGCCACGGCCATGATGACTTGGAGCGAGGTAGTCTTTGGAAATTCAGAATAAATCTTCTCTAAAAGTCTCAACGTACCACCAATCGTCCAGATGTCAGGCTCCTCTCCTCTGATCGGGACCTCTTGCTCTGTGAATCCGCTCCCTTCGAGCTCCCACCACTGCCCTGCAAGGTCAATTACAAGGTCACCGAGAAACACGTCGCTCCCATCCTCCCGCAGCTCACGAATAGCCCGCACGGGACACGCATCGACTATAACTGGGTTTGTTTTGTCTTTTAACGCCTCAAGCTCTGCCAGGAACGCGTTGCTGGGCGGAACAACTCGCCCAAGCCACCATTCAGCGTCTTCTACGGTTTTCTTTTCAGTCTCATCCCGCTCCCAAGTTAGAGAACAGCTGACCGAGCTTATATGGATGAGGTACACTGCTGATCCATGGGTGAACGCGTTCGTCGTCCAAGATAGGGACAATATATTGAGCGTCCCTCGCTCTGGGAGGCGTCAGAACGATGTTTTCGTGTCCTTTGCCCTTCAAGCGCAAAATCGGCTCTCCTGTGGTCGGAAGGACCTCGAGCGGGTGGAATTGGTGGTTAGGATGAAGCATCTGTCGTATCAAATATTCAAAACTTGAGATTCATTTTAAGTATAAGCCACTAGCGTCGATGGACAAGATGATGGAATCTGACTCGACAGTTGTGTTGAGATTGAAGGTGATAACTAGGCAGTGCATTTTTGAGTCATCATTCTCTCAGGAAACCAAGATAAAAGCCTGAGCGTTCACAGGTGCGATTGGCATCTTGGCATTGATAACTCGAATATGGGCTTAAAGTGTGACCCGCTCACCAACGAGCCGTTTTTTCCCATCCAAATATCATCATCACCCACACCGCAACTTACTGACGCTGCAGCAATCGTGCTAATTCTCGACGACGAGCGCGTCTACCCGGGGCTGAAAGCAACGCCATTCTCGTATACTCTTGATGAGCACTTGCTTTTTCTTCCGGTCTGTATTCATCGATTCTTGGTAAATAGCGGACGGAGAGTGGTGGCTGAATTCAACGAAGGCAGTGACAGATCGGCAAATCGCACAGCTAGATGCCGCCAGTGAAGACAAGGTCGTTGATTTTTGCCTACACGAAATCCTTGAAGATGGCACACAAGTTTATCTGGGAGACATCACCATCCAGCCGATGGCGACGAGCGGCGGCTTCTTGAAGTAAAACGCGACGACGAACAAGTTTGGGCTATGGGCGGCGGGCTTCGTATTTTTTCTCGACCATTAACGTTGCAGCCAGACAGGGCATCATGAGGGACGCAGTCCGGACGCTTTTATTGAAATGGGCGATTGCAGGTGTTCCAGAAAAAATGGGTTTCGACTGGTGAGAAGCGTTGGAAGGAGTATCGAGGCGAGGGGTGTAATAAACGTGCAACGTGCTCGAGTGGCGACTGGAGTGGATGATTGAGGGTCAGATTTCTACTACTGTAGTTTTGGCGGAACTCGGCTGGGCTAACTGTTAGTGTAACAACATCATCATTCGAGTCAAGAGCGACCAGTAACGTGACACCCGATGGCATCAACGGTCCGTGCGCACACGCCGCCCTCAAATACCCCGCGCCAACATTTGGTTCTTCATCTCTTGTGCTCGGGCACGTACCATCGGAAGTGAGGTTAACACCGATCCGTGGTCTTTTGCTGATTGCAAATTACATCCGAACCGTTCGTCTGCTTCGGCTTACGACAATTTTTGGAAACCCTCTTCTTCCTTGGGATGATACTTTACTGGTCGGAGGGAAGTGATAATAGTAGCTTTGTCTTGTAGTACCTTCCTTCCAATGCATTTGTTGTCCCTCTTGAAGATATTGCTAAGAAATGATTTGAAGATGGCTAAGAAGTGGGATTCATGGTGACACCTTCAGAAGATTTGGCCCCCTCGCTCTCCACAAGGTGTCTGCGTTCGTTGGAGTCCTGGGAGCTTATAAAATGGCGCATTGCATCCTTCGCACTACTCTGTGTACGCGAAACCAACGCGAAACTGTGGAATGCCAGACTGAGCAACAGAGCAAGTGGATTCAGAGGCATTGTCATTATGTAAAGTAACCCCATGGGCCTGTTGGCGGAGCCATGTTTATGGGCTGTAAGTAATTGCTCAAACGCGGCGAGCCGCCGGCGCTGTCTTGGCAGTTATATACTTGTGGGTTTGCCGACGACATTCAGAATGCAGAAGAAATAATGCGCTGATCCATTATGTAGTATGTATGAGGAGACTCGAGTCTGACCAGTTAGTTATTTGCCAGTTGTTCGCTCTTGTTCGACTCGGCCGCATGTGACGCGTGCGACCAATCTTATCCTGAACCACCACCACCGTGACCGGAAAGAGGGTGTCTACTATGCCTTGACTATGCCGCTGCTCCGTTCCTTTACATATTGCATACGGACACCAATCGCGTTGCAATGCAATTTCGATGCCCTAACAGCCATTACGTTAGGGTCGGCGCCTATGATTCTGAAAATCCCAAGAAGAAAAAGGACACGCTCTCGGCCAATTTTCGGTTTTGCCCCTTGAGCACTGTGCAAGCACTGTGTCTGCTGTCCGTCTCTTGCTTGTTTCACGTTGCGCCCATTCACTCGCTATATTTAAACTCCTCCGTGGCCTCCAAGACACGCCGTGTTGTTCTTGACTGAATAAATAGGTCATAGACAAAGGTCAACCACAGAAACTATGGACGCCCCTCTCCAGCTCCTCCCAGCGCTCGCGCCTCTTTTCGCTGCCGCTGCGTACCTTGCATTCAAGAAGCGCTCTGCCTCACAAGTGGCCAAGGTTCCTGGTCCATCGCCGTCTTCATGGGTTTATGGTGAGTGTGGCCTTCCATCGATGACAATTACTTGACGGCGATACAGGCAATATGGTTGAGCTTGACTTGGCCCCGACCTACGGGGACTACGAGTTTGCCTGGCAGCGGGAATACGGCCCCGTCTATCGCATTAAAGGCGCTTTCGGAGTGCGTCCCTAGCTCTTGCCGCTATTGTTCTTCACTAATAGCCACCCAGGAGGACCGTCTTGTTGTCTCCGATCCCGCTGCACTGCAGCATATCATGAACAACCGCTCCTTTATACGCGCTATCGCACAGTGGAAGCCCGGGACGCTGGTTTTTGGGCAGGGTAGCATATTCTGCGCGGAAGGTAGGCGGTGCCGAAAATGAGCTAGTTCTTGTTCTGACTTGCTCATGAAGAGGAAAACCACCGTCGCATTCGCGCTGCTCTAGCCCCTGCCTTCTCAGTGTCAGTTATTCGGTCTTTTGCACCAGTATTCTCCGAGGTCGCGCAGCGGGTAGGTCACCGGTGCATCTCTAATCAGGCACTAACGTCGAGTAGATAACGCGCGTGTGGGAGCAAACAACCTTATCAGGACCCAGACTATTAAACGTCTGCGAACTGATTGACCGCGGGACGCTGGATATCATCAGCCATAGTAAGTTGTCGTTTTTTGGAATGAAAGGCTTTGACTGACGCGTTCCAAGCTGCCCTTGGCTCACCACTCGACACGGTGACGAACCCCGACCACCCACTCGCCCACAGTCACCTGGAAGTCCTGTGAGTGCAATGATGTTGCCAATTTCAATTTCAAGTTAAAACGTTTCCCTCAGTGCCGCGGGTTTCAAACGGAGCAAAGCAACCATCATCGCCAACTTCTTCATCCAGCGCACCCCACTCGCTGTTCTGCAAGCCGCAGCATATCTTCCCACCGGGGCATTCGCCGTCATCCGCAAGTTCAGAGATGTTACTCAAGAGTTGGGCTCGCGCTTGATCAAGGAGAAAGTGGAGTCGGCGACAGAGGATTCAGAGACGGACATGCTGAGCATTCTGAGTGAGTTCTTTTATCTTGTTTTGACCTTCAAATAACTCTTTTCCAGTCAGAGGCTTGGTGGGGAATCGGAAGAAGAGCATCTCTTCAGAAGAGCTCGCAGAACAACTGCGGGTGATCTTGCTCGGTGGCCAGGATACCAGTGTAACGCTTGCATTACTCGTTTATCGTGCTTCTGAGGACTTTCCAGGCTGTTGAGCTCAGCTGGATGCTTTATGAGCTCGCCAAAGACCCAGAACTACAAGATGCCCTCCGCGCCGAGATTCTCGAGGCCCGCGCCGCCTCTGACACGCCAGACTACGACGCGATGCCGTTGCTTAACGCGCTGATGAAAGAGACACTTCGTCTATACCCCGCTGGCCCATATCTGGAGCGCGCAGCGAGCGACGACCTTATTATCCCGCTGGCAGAGGAGCTGACTCTGACCGACGGCGAGCGGGTCAAGCAGCTCAACGTCGCGAAAGGACAGTACATCATTATCGCTGTAGCTGCATACAACCGGTGAATACTCTTGACTATATTCTCTGGTCGTTCTTAATTTTTGCAGCCTCCAATCGATATGGGGTCCCGATGCGGATGTGTTCAGGCCCTCGCGGTGGCTCGAGGGAAACGGCAACCCGTCCAAAGGGCAGGCGATCGGGCCTTATGCAAGCCTGTGTGTCGTATTCGCTGTCTATTCCGCGTTGCACACTGATAGAATGCAGATTCACCTTCTCTGGTGGCTTCCGTCCTTGCGTGAGTACCACTTTCCTGAACGATCATTGCAATGCTCACCATCATCTGCAGATCGGCTGGCGCTACTCGTGCGTGTCTAACTTTTATCAGACCCCTGTTTGAATTTTTTGTTCAGCGTCCTTGAAATGCAGATCCTCCTCTGCGAGTTCCTCGCCAACTTCAAGTTCGCGCCCAACACGAAGGTGGACAACGTCCTGCGGCCGATGTTCTGTGGGACGCTGGTCCCGATTGCGTCTGACGGGCAGAAGCGCATGCCGCTGGTGGTTGAACGCGTCGCGCTGTAAAAGTCACCATGCTTGAAGGAAACCGGTGTTGAGTCACAAGTGATATTTTAGACTTCCCATACTATTTCTTTATTACATTAACTTTGAATCTAACAGCTTCGATGATGTTTGCTCTACGCGCGAACTCTGGGTGTAGGTACGCTGCGTACGCAACCAACGTAACGAGGTATCGCAATGCTGATCAGCTGAGCATACTCCTGCTTCGATCAGCGGGTATTAATACGCATCTGTTCAACTGAAAGTTCAACTGGGACTTGATCGGGAGTTCACCTGCCAGAGCAAGAATAGCAAGATCCACCTTGAACGCGTCCAATGGGCGTAAACTCCGCTGCTTCTGCGAACTTGGGAGTCGCGAGGCGGATAGTTGAACATGATTCGTCTTGGGTGGGGCTGCTGTTCACACAGATGAGGGCCCGCCGCCACTCAGGCCGGCAGTTCAACCCGCCGGAGTTCTGAGCCTACTACTCCTAGACACCGCAGGAAGCACCGCGGATAGCTCCAATTTGGGACAGCGTATAAGTACGCGTGCATCGGAAGTCGGAGCACTCCCACTGGCCTCACTGGCGCCGAGCGCTCGTTTGCTTCACAATGTCAAAATCTCCAAGCTTCCTGCAGTAACCCTCTGATTTGTTTATCCGCTCCCACCCGCTCATGCTTCCCGCTAGCGCTACGGCCCGGATTTTCGCTGTCTCTCACATCATTTCGCTGGCCGAATCGGTCGCTTGTGCCCCCCTTCCCCTTCTGCAGCGCGACGAGTCAGGGTCGAGGTAAGGAGTGGAACTCGAGGCGAGAGCAAAGTACTAACTTTCACGTAGCAGCGGCAGCGGGGTCTACATCGGCGTCGCCCTTGTGCTGGCCGTCGTCCTTCCTGGCGTGTCTGCGGTGCTGTTCTGCTGTGTGATGAGGCGGGGACGGCCCGGGAGGGTATCCGCAAAGAGCGTCGACACGGAAGCTGGCGACGAGAAGACAGCTGCTAGCAGTGAGCTGAGTGCAGAGGCGGAAGAGTCCATCACAGTGGCCGTGAACAGCATAGTATGATTGTATTTACTTATAGCTCGATTATTCTGGGAGGACCAGTACTAGCTAGCGCGAGCACATCTGTCAGTCCCGATTCGGATCATTGATCATTTCCAGGCCGGGCCGGGCCCCGCGATCCGGAAGCATTAGAGCACGGCGATGTCCTCGCGCGGTTGCCAGTGGGAATCTTGGCGATCATGAAAGGAAGCGGCCACTTGGACTCGGATGCATCAGCGGTTCGCGTCGCGAGAGCGACACCGGAGAGCGATCAGGCTTCAGCGCTGCCTGTGCTGGTGGCCACCGTGACATATATATACCGGCGAGAACGCAGCGCATGCACGATGGGGGCCCGGTCATTTTTATCACTGCTGGCAGGATTGATGGCCCAGATTCAAGTTCGCCATTCGTCGAATTCACTTCATGCGCGGCCCGGGTGTGTGTTTGCGCCGCGCGGTGTTGCTTGTCCTGGTAGCTGACCAGCACCGGTCTCCCTATAGGCGGACGCATGGAACCGTATACGTCCTCTTCACAGTTCTCATTGCCAGTGGCACACAAGCACAAATAAGCCACACGACGGCCCCGGTGGCCACGGCTCTGGAACTGTACTTATGTCACCCCAGTCCACACTGGCGCCAATGCTGCGACTAACCTTTGAAGTTATAGTCGGCGCAACATCACCGAAAAGCCCGTTGATGTGCTCTTCATCGTCGCCGGTGTCGTTGCAGTAATACTCCTCGGGGCGCTGATCACCACCATCACGGTCTTCTGCGCCGGCCGCAGACCGGATGCGAAAGGCGCGGCCGACGGCCCGGGGGAGCCCGACTCGGAAAGCGGCGTGGACTTGGTCCCGCGGCAGTTCGAGCTGGCCCAGCGCTTGAGCGCGGGTAGATCGAATTCGATCGCATCGTGGCACCCTTTCGTGCAGCAAAACATCGGGCGCGTTTTCGGGGTCCCTCCTTTGGCGGTTTCGAGGTCCTCCGGCCCGGGGTTCCCGCCTGACTCGGCGCCCCCGACAGCGCAGCTCAGCCGCATGAACACGGAGGCGTCCACATCGACACAGCAGCTTTACCTCTCTAACCAGATCCGGCGCGCCAGGCAGAAGCTCAAGGCCGCGGAGCTGGAGGCAGAATCCGTGCGCCTAAGGGACGTTAACCGCGACTCGATTGGCGGGAGCACAGTTGTTGACCACCAGAGTAATTATAAGCGCGGGTCAGACTTGACCACGGGCAGCCTGAGGGGCAGGGCGGGAGACGACCAGGGGATCCAGGAGCAGCTGCAGAATGCCCTCACCAACATCGAGCAGCTGCGCGCGCGAGTTCTGGAGCTCGAGTTTCAGTTGACAACGCCAGGCCTTGAGCCGCCGCCCGTCTATGTCGAGTAGTCCAAGGACTCAAACCCCTATTAACAGTTGGTTTACAACAAGGGCCAGCGTTGATTTTTTCAGGCTGATTGCGCCATCATTGTTGTTGTGGGGCCCGGGGGATGGGATGGAAGGGAACTGGAGTTCTGCAGGACACGGATCGTAAGGGGAGGAGATCAATGTTGGTCTCTGGCACGTGATTTGATGCCCGATGGTGATCATTGATGGCGACAGTAAGTAAACGTTATACAACATGGAAAGCAGAGACAAAGCGACGATGGGTATAACCCGTCGACACGACAGCCGGCGGCGATAAGGGAAGGAGACTGCGGCGTGCGCGTGGGAGTGAGGACTCCGTCGCAGGCGGCGCCGCGGCGAACACTGGCAGTATATGATTCTATTTCTCGACCAGTGTTCTGTGAGAGTGCGAGTGCATCTGTCCACGCGCGACATCCTGTCGTTCATCATTTCCGGGCATGTAAGTATGTCGCGACGGCCCACGGTCCACAGACACTACTTATAGCCGCGGGCCCCGGGAAGTTGGAACTTGAAGGAGCCTGAGCCCCCAGCCTGGTGCTGTCATGGGCCCCATGGCGCACTGGCAAGCTTATGTCCCCGTGATTCCCCAGCTCAGCGAGCGCTGCACACCAACCCGGTGGACGCGGATGGCCCTCGGCCGACTCGCACTGGCGCTCCATCTCCTGGGCCCGGGCCCGCCGATTGCGATTTCGATTGTCATCAAGCCTGCCGCAGTCGCAGCGCTGCCATTGCCGTGTCTGCATACAATTATGTGCGTATCATGCCCCATCTTGCACTACGGTCGTCGCGGTCCGCTGACTAATACCCCGCAGACAGCGGCGCGATGCAGACTCCCCGGGCCCGCCGGCGCGCACCATGCCCTGGCCCGAGGTGCTGACGATCGTCGGCGCCGCCGTCGCTGTCCTTGCTGTCGCCGCCGTCTCCCTCGCATGCTACTGGCGGTTCACGCGGCGGATCAGCCAGGACGTCGCGCCGCGGCCCTTCGGACTCGGCGGGGCGCGGCCCGGGCGGGCGGGGTCCCTCGCGTCGTGGGCGCCGGCGATCAGACGGAGCCTCCGCCGGTTCCGCGATCGGCGGGTGAGGGACGGCCCGGGGGCCGAGGATCAGCCGCTGGCGCCCCGACGCACGGACACCGGGTCCACGACGCACGAGCTGTACCTCTCCAACCAGCGCCACCGCGCGCGGGAGAAGCTCGACGCGGATCCGGAGTCGGACATAGAAGCCGCGCCGCTCCATCGCAGCCCCTCCGTGGGCGAAAGCACCGTCACCGGCGACGCGGACAACGACGGCCTCGGGCCGGAGACGGTGCACACACAGCTCGCGAGTGCGCTCAGCCGCATCGAACAGCTCAACACGCGGATTGTGCACCTGGAGCTGCAGCTGACGGAGTCGCTGTTCCGCCCCCCCGCATCGAGTTCCGAGAGTGCAACGGTCGAATAGTCGTCGAGACAACGAGACGAGACCAGTGCATTGAAGGATGCCACGGCGCCGCTTGTCACTTGAGAGCTTGACCCCGGCCCAGTAGAGGGAAGAATCACTTTTAATCACTGGTATAAAAAGCTAACTTGCCAGCTTGGATATTGCTCTGTTCGCAACCCGAGAGCACTGCCATGTCAGCACAGGAGAAGGCCTACCCAAATATGCCAGCCTGTTTCGATCGATTATACACCTAAAAAGAATGTGTAAAAAAAAAGAAATTTTTATACCTCTATTAGCACCCAAAAAAATTATCCCAAATTCACCTGCTTATGTGAAATAGGTGCTATAAACAGACTTAGTGTTTGTCACCCAGTTTTGGGGCAGATCAAACACCCTTTTTAAACCAGTTTTTGCATTAAAATGGGAACCAAAAAAATATTCACTTATATGACATATATCAGGGCCCTGGATGTCAATCCCTGGGTTCAAGAAATTGTAAGGGCAACCCTGGAGGCCTGAGATCAAGGTCCTAGCAGGGGAGGATCCAATGACTCATTGGGCCCGACATGACCCGATTCGAACCTTCAACCACCGACAGCGACAAGCGACCAAGTTAACAGGCCCTTTCGGTTTCAATCTACCCCCGCTCGCCATACTCGCGGGCCCGACGATCCGTCTGTTCTGTTCCGGCCGTGCGTTCTTAGGAGAAGTCCTTGCACGGCCCAACCCGCAGTCTGACATAATATTGATAGTATTTGTCATGGGCCACCTGTGGGTAAATCTGGGGTGGCCCATACCCATTCCTGCCAATGGTCTGGGCCCGCTTCAGTGGGTGCGGATACCTGCATTTTGGCCAACGGGCTGCGGGTGGCTGGCGTTTCACAGGCCCATGGACTGCCAGTCCAATTGGTTTTCCAGTCCAGAAATGCTGAGGCCATCTGAGCCATCAGGAAGATGTCGGCTAGGGCTGTCATGGGTGTGGATGCCCCCAGCAACAGCCGTTGCCGCCATCTGAGCCCAGTCTCTGACCCGTTTGGAGCGCCAGGACAGGACCCTTGATACTTGGGACCAATGTCGAATCCCAAAATCAGCCCAATTTTCACTTTTGTCCAAACTTTTTTTCAGACCCCTTGCCAAAAATCTGTCCGAAAACAGCTCCGGTACCCCTCTGATCTCCAAGAATGTCCAAAACTGCCTCCGGCATGTAAAAAAAATCGTAAAAAAATTTGCCATTAGAAGTACGAGATTTTGACAAAATTTGCTCAAGTTGTGGCGCTTCTGAAGCAAAAATGGGTAAAATCATCCAGGAGCTGTCTGCAGCTGACAATTAAGCCTAAATTGCATTTAGGGCCATGACTGTGTCCGAACTTGAGGCTGTCTTCCACCCAATCCTGATTCCTGAATTGCAGAGCGAGATTTAGAGCATAATGACCACATCAGGAACTTATTCTACAAGACATATGTATAGCTACAACTAGACAGGGCTGGGGCTACACCCCAGCTTTGAATGTTGCTTGAATAACATGAATTTCTAGATTAAGAACATTGCCAGTAACTACAGAAAGGCACACAAATGCTCAATAGCCTTTTTATATGTCTGGTCTAGTATTGTTGCTAGTATATGTAGATTGCAACCCAAGTCCGTAAAATCTATGTATTTATTTCTCAATTTGTGGGCAATTTGAGAATACTTACTTAACACACTTCAGTGTTATCATTTAAAATAACCCTAGATATAACTTGGTGATAGTACTGGGTGCAAGATATCACTAACAGCTTTGTGTCCCAATTAGAATTGGTCACATTTTACAGCTTTCCTTACTAATTTAGGGCTTTAACAGCAGTGATCCCAAAAATGGAAGTGTGGAGGAAATCAATTGTTAAAGTCAGTGCCAAACATGTGCATACATTCACACGACATCTGCTTAATATAAGAGTAATCCAATAGTTCCATTGATGTTCTTGGAAATTCAGCAGACTGACTCAGGTTGATGCTACCAGGTCCTATGACTGTGTGAATTACCTTCCCAATATGGTAATGTCATGTCACAGTCACAGTCCCCTGGCAGAGCTCAAACCAAAAAGTCCAACCTATGTTCATTTGTGCTACAAATTTAACTGAGATACTATATTGACTACATTGTGCTACAGAACTCCCCCCCTTAGCTACAGTGGGTTTTGCTTTTTCCTGATGTATTTCTTTTCTGGCACCCCCTTGCTGAATTCAACATATATATATGCGATGTTCAATCACATAGTATAATTTTGGCCAGCACACTCACGCCCAAACTTAGTTCAAGTCCTCGTCAATCAAACAAGAAGAAGCGGCCACGGCATCAGCATCTGCATCCGCGTCTGGGCTATTAGCGTCGCGAACATCACAATTAATATAGCGGCCAGTGATCAGGTCCCAGTCACGGTGGCACATATACATATACCTGCGAGGACTTGAATGCATGCACGATGCCAGTGGTGGCCCGGTGCCCATGCCCTCTGTAGTAGGCCCCAGACCCATGCCCCACCTGCCACCGCCGGCGCCATCGCATTCGTACCATGCCCGGTATGTCTCCCGGGCTGGCTGCACTGTGCCATTCTTATCCCTGGAGCTAACCAGCGCTTCTTCCAGCGGGCGGGCGCACGGACCCAGATACCCCCTCCGAGTCGTCAAGTTCTTGATCCCGTTCTTCCCGGACGTCGGCGCAGCCGCGCTCCAACCGCCTGCGTCCGGCGTATCCGCCTCACGTGCCACCAGCGATTCAGCTGGCAACAACGCGCCGCCACACCGCGAAGCCGTTTTCGCAGCCCGTCGACGTCGCGCTCGTCCTCGGCGGGCTCGCCGCCCTGATACTCCTCGCGGCGCTGATCACCACCATCATGATAGCGGCCTTCTGTCGCCCCTACACCTGTGAGCGGCACAACGCTTGAAGTCGCCTCAGACGCCGAGCAAGACGGCACTGGCAGCGCGGACGAGCGCGGGAGGGACAGCAGCGTGGACTTGGTGCCGCGCCAATTCACGCTGGCGCACAGCAGATCGAATTCCATCGCATCGTGGCACCGCTTCGTCCCAGCGCAACATCATCGCGCGTGTCCTCCCCGGTCGCCCGCCCGCGGTCGTGCAGCTGAGCCGCACGAATACCGCGGCGTCAACGACGACACAGCGGCTCTAGCGCGCAAAGCGGAAGGTTGCCGAATTGGAGGCGCAGTCCGTCCGTCTCCGGGACGCGGAGCGTGACTCGCGGCACTCGATTAGCGGGAGCACGGTTGTCGACCACCAGCCTAGTAAACGCGCCGCGTCAGATCCAGACTTGAGCAGGGCGGGGGATAATAGTAGTCACGAGATCCAGGAGCAGCTGCAGCACGCGCTCTCCAACATCGAGCAGCTGCGCGCGCGCATACTAGACCTCGAGCTGCAGCTGACGACGCCCGCCCTCGAGCCGCCGCCCGTGTACGTCGAGTAGCGGAAAGGAAGCGAAGAGTGGGCCATAATCCACGGCCAGACAGTGTCTCCGAGTGCGAGTCTTCGGGTCCGATTACGCGCATAAGCTGTGACTCGAATATGATACGCTTGAGAGTAGCAGCCATCGGTAGGGAACCGAGCAGCTCACCATGGAATCTGGATGGTGGGAGCAGATCAACAGTGATTATGGCACGTGATTCATTCGCCCTTGATGATCAGATGGGCGGTGTCAGCGATCCTCTTCTGCCGTGCGCGGGTACGAGAAGGGCGAGAACGGGGCAGCTCGGATTACCTCGCTCTGCCGGTGGCCAGCCCATGTGTGATTGCATTTATAACTTGAAGTTGCGCCAGCGCTACATTCATCATTTCCGGCATGTTACGGAGCTAGTGTACGGGCGCAGTTAAGAATGGTGTCGGTGCAGCGCAGGCGGCAGGCCTAGATCTAGAGACCGGTGCATATCAGGACGGTGCCGCTTCACTAAGTTGATGCACCGTGGGATATGCGCACGACCGAACATTGATCACAAAGAAGTTGCCACCTGGATCCGGATCCGAAGTCGTCCCTATTCCTGGCGGGAGACGATCAGCGTGAGCCTCCAGCTCCAGCGCCTGACGGCCCGCCAGTGCCACTGGCACATATATAACTGCTGGAACGCGGCACACGCACGATGGTGGCCCGCCGGCGCGCTGCCAGCACATTCGCAGGATCCATGGCCCAGATCCAGAAGTCGTCGACGCCCTACCGTCCCAGTGATCATGGCCGGTATGTGCACTGGCAAGAGTGCAGCAGCTGCTGATAGTCGTCCTCCCCAGGCCAAGCGCCGGCGGGCGAAAGCACGGAACGGTGTACCGCCTCTCGATAGTCCTCGCACAGAGCGGCCGCACGAGGGGGTGCTCGCCGCGGCTCTAGAATCATCGGCGTGCGTCGTCTCCGAGTCACACCAGCAGCCGTACCGGACTGACGTTGCCCAGAAGCCCCAGCCCCAGCCCTATGGTGCACCCTAAGACCCTCTAGTTAGAGGGATAGAGGGGGGTACTCTCTCCCTCTAACTAGAGGGGGTTGAGCCAGTAGCGGGCACCCCCGCTAAATACGGCTACCAAGGCCAGTCTTGGTAGCGGGGAGACAGCCCCAGAGGCTGCCATCACCCTCCCGGCTGCCTCCCCGCCCCCCGCCCACTGCGCCCAGTGCCCGCCGCCGCCCGATGGCGTCGTCACGATCGTGACTTATGTCACCGATCGCTGATTGACGTCGCCGATCGCCGCCCGCTGTCGTCGGCCGCCGGAGCTTCTTGCCCGCCGGTGTCAGGCACCCCACCGCCGCTGTCAAATAGTCCGCCGCTGTCAAATAGTCTGCCGACGTCGGTCCTCGACGTTGCCCTCGACGGTGAGCTCAATTCTTCATCATTTTCTATCAAATAAATTAATTTCCAATCAAACTTGATGATTGCAACACAATGGTGGTGTCATCACTACCATCCACTGATCCCGCCCTCCCCCGACGCCTGCCCGACATGCCCGACGTGCCCCCTGATGCCCCCTACCCCAAAAAATGAAAAAAGTTGCAGAATGTCACGAAAACTGTCCCAGTACAAACCGCTAATCAATATCTTCATTCGTTTGAGAGATATTAATAAA